AAAAAAAAAAAAAAAACTGTTTTCTCCCAATTCAGATGAACTTATTTGCAAATATGCTTATGATCTCGAACTACAAATATTTTATATTTTTTAAAGATTTTATTTATTTGAGAGAGTGAGAGAGAGCAAGAGCAGGGTGCAGGTCAGAGGGAGAAGCAGACTCCCCGCTGAGCAGGGAGACCGATGTGGGACTCGATCCCGGGACTCCATGATCATGACCCAAGCTGAAGGCAGACGCTTAACCAACTGAGCCACCCAGGCACCCAAAACCATAAATATTTTAAATGAAGAGTGCTATACTCAAACTATCATAATGTACTTTAAACAGGCAAGATAACATAAATAATTCAACATTTTAAACTGTAAAACAAAATCACTTATTTACAACGGCTAGTTCAGTTTAATGTGAAGAACTGGAAGGTGAACTTACAACTGATTTTGGATTAGAAGATGTACTACTGTATTCCCCAGCATGAAAGGACAATGTGAAAGTTTGGTGAGGAACTCTAGACTCCACAGGGGATACTGGCTTTATATCTTTTGAATTACAAGGATTTAATGAATAACAATCAGCAGGAGGGGCCTCAAGTGATACTTTGTTGCATCACTGAAAATACAGTAGATCGAAACCATAAATTGAACAATAACAGTTCTTAAATTTTAAAATATGCTTTACCTAGCAGGGCTGTCTATAAATCTCTTGACTCCTCCCTCTTAATTTCTAGGTCTCAGTGACGCAATCAGTCAAGAGACTTTCAAATGAGGTACAACTTGACACAGATCCATGTAGCACCTGCTATGCTGCCTGTTGTTAACTATAGCTAAGGCAAAACCTCCCAGAGAAGCCACAAGCTACAAGAGATCATTAAGTTCTCCCTAGGATCTGCAGGAAAAGATGGGAGTCATTCACTAGAGATCTGCTGAGCATATAGCCACAGCCTCCTTGTTTTAACAAAGCAACCTCCAGAATGGTCTTGAGCGGACAGGAGTGCTCTTGCTCTTGGCCACTGCAGTGGAGTCCTTGCTGTTCTGCTGTACTCTGAATGGCTGATGCCGCCTGCCCGGTCCTCCAGAAAGAAGCCGAATGCCTGGGAGCTGTGATTCTGCACAGGCTCTCACTATTTGGAGAAAGAGAGCCAAGGCCAACAGTGACACCTGACTAGAATATCAACAGGAGGTGTGCCGGGAGGGACAGTCAGACTATCTTACCAACTATGCCTTATTTGAATGTGTATCAGCTCTGCCGCCACGAAGCAGATTGAATATTTTGTTGTCTAAGGGTGTAACTCCTTTATTAACAAACAGTTCAGTGGGCATATCTACTGCTATCTTAATCTGACAGGTTACTGTTTAAAATGTCCTGAAATCGGGGCACCTGGCTGGCTGGCTGAGTCAATAGAGCATGTGACTCTTTTTTATTATTATTATTTTTTTGAAGATTTTATTTGAGAGAGAGCAGGGGGAGGAGCAGAGGAGAGGGGAAGCAGGCTCCATGCCCAGCAGGGAGTCTGACTGGGGCTTGATCCCAGGACCCCAGGATCATGACCTGAGCCCAAGGCTAACTGAGCCACCCTGGTACCCATCACTTTTTTTTAAATGATTTTTTTTTTAAGATTTTATTTATTTGACAGAGAGACACACGAGAGAGGGAACACAAGCAGGGAGAGTGGGAGAGGGAGAAGCAGGCTTCCCGCAGAGCGGGGAGCCCAATGAAGGACTCGATCCCAGGACCCTGGGATCATGACCTGAGCCAAAGGCAGACGCTTAATGACTGAGCCACCCAGGTGCCCCAAAATTTACTAAATTTTTTTAATGACTCTTAGCTAAGACCAGATATATTATGAACACTTTGTTTTAAGAGACAGATCTGTACCTGTCAGCAAAATCTATCAAAACTTTAAAAAATGAAGATAATTCTAAAGGTTAGGGTCAAAATGAGCAGGTAAGGATTATAAGGAGAAGGCTCATAAAGAGAAAACACCGTATCAGCTTTGAAGACCTTCCGGCAAGCAGCAGCCCCTCAGTGCTGGTGTCGCTAACTGCAACTCCACTGGAGACACAAAGACACATGCGTACACACACAGTCAGGCCCACTTACTGCAAGGCCTTGTACAAACTAACCAGCAACTCCACATCTCATAAATACACAACAGGCAGTTTTTTCTATGCTAGAAAACTGCTAGATCATATTTCTAAGAAATAATCTGTATTTTCCCTTTATACCAGATATTGACTAAAAAAAATAAAAATAAATAAAGGAAATTAAAGAACACTAGAAAACAAGCTTAGGAGAAAAGGACCAGGGGCGCCTGGGTGGCTCAGTCAGTTAAGCCTCTGCCTTTGGCTTAGGTCATGATCCCGAGGTCCTGGGATCCAGCCCCCCTCATTGCTACTCACTGGGGAGTCTGCTTTTCCCTCTCCCTCTGCCCTTCCCCACCCACCTGTGAGCTCTCCTGCGCGCTCTTCTCTGTCAAATAAATAAATAAAATCTTAAAAAAAGAAATAATCTTAAAAAAAAGAACTTGTTCTTGAAAAATGAATCATGGACTCCAAGCTCTGAGTCTGAACTTGTTCAATTAATGTTTCAGACAAGATGAGAGAAATTCATACTAACACAGAAATACTGTTATTACTCAATCACCCAACATAAGAAAGATAATTCCTACAGTCTACTGAGAGTCTAATACTTTTCACTAAGGAGCTTAAGTTGGGGAGTAAGAAAGTTAGTGGTGTGCAGGAGGGGGATGGAGGACAAGAACCAGATTCCCCAATATCCAAGGCTGTTACTATGGACAGGTCACTGTAACAGGATCATCCCTGACAGCCCACTCAGCACACCAAAGGTCACTGAGAATTATGGCTAAAAGGACAGCACCTCGTCTCTCTTCTGACAGAGATGGTAATCACTTGTGCTTAAATTCCAACGAGCATAGTGAAGATGTTGCTGTTTTTCAATTTGTCATGCTAGAGCTGGCCTACAATAGTCTTTCTCCAAAAAAAAGAAAGGACTCATTATCATTTCTAGAACTTAAAGGAAAGAAATGCATCCTCACCAAACCTAGTTAAGAGCTCTATCATGGATCCACTTTCCAAGCTCTGAGGGAGTCAGAAATAACAAAATAGGCAATTTGTTACCCTATTACCCCAGGATGAAAATGAAAACTTCTGTATCTCAAATACAGCTCCTTTACCTGGCACTGTGGCCCCCAGTTTTTCATATGTAATGGACAACTGATAAATCTGGTACTTCTGAATATTTTCAGTGAATTGCTTTAAAGAGTTCATTTATTTATTTATTTGAGAGATGAGTGCATGTGCATGCGCACGCGCACACAGGGAGAAGGGCAGAGGGAGAGAATCTCAAGCAGACTCCCTGCTGAGCTCAGAGTCAGTTGGGCTCCATCCCATGACCCTGAGCCAAAATCAAGAGTCAGACATTCAACCGACTGAGCCACCCAGGCACCCCTTTAGTGAATTGCTTTAATACACACGTACATATACATAGTCAGGACTGTTTCAGTTTTATTCTATTATAGAAACTAGGCACTCAAGAGACAGATAATTCATAATCTAGAAATTCTCAGTTTTCATTTTTTTATTGTATTTTTTAAAAAAAGATTTTATTTATTTGTCAGAGAGAGAGAAGGGAGACAGAGCACAACCAGGGGGAGCGGCAGGCAGAGAGAGAAGCAGGCTCCTTGCTCAGCATGCGGGACTCGATCCAAGGACCCGGGGATCATGACGTGATCCAAAGGCAGACGCTTAAATGACTAAGCCACCCAGGCGTCCTGAGATTCTGTTTTTAAACATTTTTAAAAAGATTTACCCATTTATCTGAGAGAGACAGAATGCACACAAGAGCAGGAGGAGGGGCAGAGGGAAAGGAGGAAGAGGGAGAGAGAAGCAGACTCCCTGCTGAGTGTAGAGCCCCAACACGGGGCTTGATCCCACGACCCTGAGATCATGACTTGAGCTGAAATCAAGAGTCAAACGCTTAACCCACTGAGCCACCCAGGCAGCCCTTAGAAATTCTCAAAGTTTTTAAATGATTGAAGTTTATCATAGCTGGCTTACAGCAATTATTCCTTTCCCCGTCGTGTTTGTACTGAAATTTCTTAGTAGGCAGGGCCAGACTAAAATCTAAACAGAGGTAGGCCTTGAGAAATTAATATTTAAATTCAACCCCACAGGTCTCTAGTAGTAAGTAATTTTATACCCTGCCGCAACACTAGTATAGAAACTGTTTTCTCGGGCGCCTGGGTGGCTCAGTTGGTTAAGCGACTGCCGTCGGCTCAGGTCATGATCCTGGAGTCCCG